AGGGTTCGGATCCCACATACAGACCGGTTCCCGCTCACTGGCTGAGCGAGGTGCGGGTGCGACACTGAGGGTTGCGATCCCGTTGCCGGTCCTGGTCCGGTACGGGCGCGACACTGAGGGTTGCGATCCATTGCCGGTCACGAAAAATGACAAAAAGGAAAAAAAAAAAAAAAAGTTCTGTGAGTTTATGGAATCTACAGTGATCGTCCCTCAGGAATCTCTGAAAGTTAAACTTTAGAATTAACACGAAATAAATCAAAGCAGAAAGAAAGAAGCAAAGAAATCAGAGCCATAATTGGCTCCAAGGTCGGCAAACCTAGAGTATAAGCTGACTGCAAATATAAATCTATCCAAAGAAAGTGTTATTCAGACAGGGGTGGCAGAAGGATGGTCAGCAAAGAAAAAGGAGTCACAGAAGCAAATGTGGGTAGTGACCACCTATGTCCAGGGTAGAGGGACCTGAACCAGTTCCAGTGGCAGCTATCACTCTACTGTGGATAGAGGTGACAAATTTGCTCACCTTCTGATTATACTCTGGTTTCACATGTACTTTCCCTAAGGGGAAGGAATGCACTGGCTGGAAGATGCTCCCTTCCTATCCCTTTGGCATTTATATATCTTACTTTATTTTTTAATTTTTTTTTATTATTTTGTTTTGTTTTGTTTTGTCTTTTTTCGTGTTCGGCAACGGATTGCAACCCTCAGTGTCGCGCCCGTACCGGACCAGGACCGGCAACGGGATCGCAACCCTCAGTGTCGCACCCGCACCTCGCTCAGCCAGTGAGTGGGAACCGGTCTGTATGTGGGATCCAAACCCTCGGCGGGAGCTGCACCACCGGGCCGGCCCTTTATTATTTTGTTTTGTTTTGTTTTGTCCTTTTTGAGACCGGCCGCACCGCGCTCAGCCAGTGAGCGCTGTGAGCGCACCGGTCATCCCTATATAGGATCCGAACCCGTGACGGAAGTGCTACCGCACTCCCAGCGCCACACCCTTCCGAGTGCGCCATGGGCTCGGCCCTATATATCTTACTTTAAATGAAGAAATTAGTATTCTGATTATAAGTTTGTTTCCCAAGGCCTGCTAACAGAGAGAAAACTTGGTTGGTCAGAGGAAACTAGGATTTAGTGCCCTTACCAACTGCAGTTATTGCTGTAAATTGATATTTTATAAAACAGCTTTGGAGAACTCAGTTGACCTAAAATGTATCTTGTCTTGTTTCTTAGCTTATAAGTTTGAAAGCAAGGCCCTGGCCTTTAATGATGTGATCATTTATCACATACTCATGTATCAGCCAGCTGCCATCTACCAAAAAGAGCTGCTTTACATCCTTGGGTACCAGTCTTCTTCTCAATTGACAGTTCCACATAAAGTGATACTGTGAAGAGAGACAGACTCCAGATACTTATAACTGGTTATAATTTATTAGGGGGACATTTCCTAAAGCTCTAAGCCCAGTATGCTTCTGCAGCTACCATGGCTACTTTGACTATTAACAGGAAAATTATTGGCAATGAAACAGAAAACAGCATTTGTATTGGTAATTCTGAGTAGTTCTAGTTACCACCTTGTAAGAAAGACCTAATCTTCACAACAATGCTATAAAGTAAGAACTATTATAATCTCCAACCTTAAGATAATAAAATTAAGGCTCAAGAGAAGTTAATTAACTTGCCTAATGTTACAAACAAGTATGCAGCAGAGCCAGCATTAACCCAGTTTTTTTCTATCCTGTATAATAGCAGATAATAGATAAAGCAGTTAATAGGAGACTATGTGACCAGCTGGTGGAAGCAGACAGCAAGGAAAAGTGACAGCTGGAAGCAAAGCACAAAACAGAAGATAATTAGAAAAGCAGATGAGTTGAGCCTTTCATTATAGTCTCAAACAGCACTATAAACTTTAACAGTTCCTAAAGGGTATTTCAAAATACTTCCAAACACTCTAAAGATAAAAGCTGCCTAATTGGAATAGGAGAACTCTCATGCAATCGATAAACTTGCCATTTCTCAACACTTCCAAGGGCATTCTGATTATCCAGTGTCACACAGAGGTCTGTTTCTTTTCTGCATCAGTTGTACTGTAATAAATCTGAGGCATTATCATACATTTGAAAGTTTTTGCTCCACTAAGAGGAGAACTATTTTCAAGTCCTGGATTTGCCACTATTTCAAGATGCAACCAATGACAAGTCATTCATCTCTGAAACTCGGTCTCTTCATCTGTAAAATGAGGGTTGAGCTAAGTGCTGCAGTGCTACCTGTAAAATTTTATGGTTCCACAAGATTAAATCATATTCTATATATTCTATTTCTTTTTTTTTTTTTTTAAAGATGACCGGTAAGGGTATCTCAACCCTTGGCTTGGTGTTGTCAGCACCATGCTCAGACAGTGAGCAAACCGGCCATCCCTATATAGGATCCGAACCCGTGGCCTTGGTGTTATCAGCACTGCACTCTCCCGAGTGAGCCACAGGCCGGCCTCTATATATTCTATTTCTTAAGACATGGACTTTTATTTATTTATTTATTTTTCCTTTTTTTTTTTCCCCATGACCGACAACGGATCGCAACCCTCAGTGTTGCGCCCGTACCGGACCGGGACCGGCAACGGGATCGCAACCCTCAGTGTTGCACCCGCACCTTGCTCAGCCAGTGAGCGGCCAGTCTGTATGTGGGATCCGAACCCTCGGCGGGAGCGCCGCCACACTCCCAAGTGGTGCACTGTAGCAGTGCGCCACCGGGCCGGCCCAAGACATGGACTTTTAAAAAAAAGATTGAGATTAAAAAATAATTAAGAAAATTTGGGGGCCTGGCAGGGTAAACTTAAGTATAATCTGAAAATTCCTTTCAGTGGAACATTTCAATTGATCACGTTGTACGTTATTCCATATCACAAACATTAAGTTGATAAATCGATTAAAAATAGATTTAAATAAATTAATAGATAATGATTCATAACTGTTGTCAAGGCAAACAAAAATATTTTGGATAAATTCTAAAACTCTGAGATTGCTTGTAGACCACTTTATAAATGGGCTGGTTTTAGCATATTGTATAATAGATACAAGAAAGCAAACAAACAAGTCTCTCTCAAATAGTAAATGGCCTGGTTTTTGCTTATATACAGTAAATAAAATTAATTTCAGATGCGTACTGAAGTTTATTTTGTTTACTATAAGATATACAGTGTACTTCTAAAAATGAATTATTTTATTTATTCTCCCCCAAATGGGCTGTTTTGTGACAAAGACTATTAATGGATCTGTGCCACTAATTCATCACAATTTGCTAGTCCTAAATTAATTTCCTAACATATATACCAAGCTACCCCATTTTCTATAAAAATAAATGTTAACACTTACTGAGTACTTATTATGTGCCAAGAACTATCCTAGGTACTTTATATATATTAACTCATTTTAATCCTGTGAAGTATAAACTGCTATTATCATTTTATAGATGAGAAAACTTACGTAGGTTTAAGAAAATTGCCCAAGGTCACGTTAGCTTGTAAGTAGTGAAGCAAGAATTCAAATCCAGGTATTCTGATCCAGAGTCTGTGCTCTCAACTGCTATGCTATACTGCCTACATTTTTTGTCCTGTCCTCAGCTCAACTGCAGTTCTTGAGGACAAAGGAACCCATCTTGCACATATTCCCTGTGCCTAGGTCATTTCTTTAGTTAGCACAGTACCTGCTATACAGTAAGTACTTAGTATGTCTACAGAATTTAATATAATCTCCATCCTATAATGATAGCCTCGTCAAGTGAGAAATGGGCAACGGATTGCAAGAAACATACTTCTGTTAACTCTCCTGAATGCAGACAAATCTCTCTATAAATTACTTTTAGTGGCAGAGAGGTGATATAAGATCACCTTATATTGTAAGGGTGTCAGAGGTGGGCTGGGACATGGGACACTGAGATTAAAAGTGAGATACCCTTTTATTTCTGACTCAATCCATTTTCAAAAGGTGTTTTCTAAGGGTTTCCTATAGAAATAGCTTTAAGAAACTGCCTTAAAATTAGTCAGAGGGAGACAAATATTAAATTCCCATCAAAAGGAGAAGTTTTTCTAGAGTAGACAGGGAACTATAATGTTCTGCTCTCAGATAATCTCAGTTTTCAAAAACAGAATTAAAACTTAATGCACCTAACAAAAGAAAACAGCAGATACATCAATGTAAACATCTAATTCTCTTTTTAACAGAAGCAAAATTTCCCAATAATTTTACAACTTATTTTATTTTACTTTACTACTTACAGTGCACTTTCCATATCTGCTATATTTTCTTCCATTTTCTGAGACTACATAGAGGTAAATAAAGTTGTCATGAGATCCTACAGCCAGGAAGGTACCATCTAGAATGAAACAGGAAAAAGTGTTGACTAGAGAAATGTACATATTTTTTGTTTTGTTTTGTTGATTTGGCGGCTGGCCGGTATAAGGATCTGAACCCACGTGTTTTAAGGCTGCATTCTAACCAATAGAGAAATATATTGATAGATTTATTTAATGTTATCTTATTGGACCTATATTAAATGATATTTTACAAATGTTGTTACATCTCATCAATTTAATTGTTATTTGGTCACCTAGTTCAATATACAATCCCTTCTTGGAGATGCTCAGAGGCCTTGGACTCTACTTTCATCTCCTTCTAGTTAGTTAAAAACTGTCCCCAGTGAGTTTACCCTACCAGTATAGGTAGAAGTACACAGTGTTCATATGGTAAGCTAAGTGTACAGCTGCTTAGTTCAGCTAGCACATATGATCTCTCCAATTACAGGATAGACTCTCTTGGAAGGGACCATGTTCGCTTCTTCTATGGTCTCTTTCACCGTACCTCCCATGGTGCTATGTATGTAACAAATGGTCGATTAAGTCCATTTGATTTTTGGATTTTTTTTTTTTCCTTTTTGTCTTTTGTCGTGACCGGCAACGGATCGCAACCCTCGGTGTTGCGCCCGTACCGGACCGGGACCAGCAACGGGATTGCAACCCTCGGTGTTGCTCCCACACCTCGCTCAGCCAGTGAGCGGCCGGTCTGTATGTGGGATCCGAACCCTCGGCGGGAGCGCTGCCGCACTCCCAAGCGGCGCACTGTAGCAATGCGCCACCGGGCCGGCCCTGATTTTTGGATTTTAATTGCTGCGTTTGCAGTGGTTATTTGCTACTATAGCACTAAAAAAACCCAACCAAATAAAAACAAATGAAAATATAACTTTTCTGCTTCAAGATGACTCTAAGTTTACAGCTTGAGGGCGCATACTTTTCCCTCCTTGTTCAATTCAGCGAATAGTATTCTGTGCTCCCTTTGAATTAACTTAGAAGCAATCAAAAAGATCCTTTGGATCCCATGCTGATCCAATAACTATTAAAATATATCTTCAAATATAAGAAGATATCAGACTAACTCTAAGGAAGAATGGTGTGAATCAAAACCACATTAATAATGGGAAAAGGTAATTGGATTATTATGAAAACTTAACTAAAATTTTGAATAAAGTATAAATAATTATTCAAAGAAGGCCAAACTAATGAAATGCTAAATATTCTATCTAATTAACAAACCAATCATTACTATGTGACAAGTAACAATGTAATTAGATTCTAAAGGATTTAAAGGGTCTACAAAATTTGTACATTTTGAATATTACCATAATTTTTTTTATATTTTCTTACATATAAAGAGAAGGTTGCTAACTTGACATAACATTCAGCCTAATACCTATTTGAAATTCTAAGTATGTATAGTTCTTTAAAAAAAAAAGAAAAAAAAGGGATTTGACTGCACTTCATTCTGCTTTCAATTGCAAATGCAATTATAACAGTTCATTCTAAATTTATGTTTGCTTTATGATGTAGAATGTTGCTTAACTTTAGCAGATCTTTTGCGGTTTGCAGCAGAATTTAATCTGATGTTGGGGGAAACACGTTCAATACTTAACAATTCTAGAGAGTAGAGAAAAAGGAGTCAGTTGTATCTGAAGTAAAAATATGCAATTATAGTGAAGTGTTGTGACTGCCAGGAAAAGGGGTTGGGGCAAATTTGCCTACCTAGTGAGTAGCGCATCACAGAGAGCTGTTCATTCCCGTCTGTGTGGATAGAAACTAGATCTCTGGTTTCTGCATCCAGAACAAACCACCTACCTGAGTGCGTTCCTATGGCCACCACTGTGCCACTTGGATGAAAATCTGCATCATTCCCGTCTGTGTGGATAGAAACTAGATCTCTGGTTTCTGCATCCAGAACAAACCACCTATTAAGAAGTAAAAATCAAAATTTTCTTCAGATATTAGCATTTATAGAAAAAAATGGGTGCTGAATTTTTCTCCATTTTTTAATTTTAAGAAATTTCAGTAAAAGCTCCTAAGTATGACATGTTTCCCTCTTCTAATGAAGGATGAATTGATTTTGCAAAATGCTGCTAAGTGTAACATTAAAAAACTTATATGGGCCTAGGTATGTTCTTATTTTATTTTGGTATTCCCTGAATACCAACTGTGTCTCTTTGCTAGTCACTGTTTAAATAGAAAATAAGATGACAGAATCAGTGTTCTTGAAGATTACACAAGAGGGGGAAAAAGAAATGAGCCAATTGAAACAAAGTACAATTAAATGTCAATCTCAGTGACGGTAACTAGATATAACAGAGGAACTCACAGAAGGAAAATGAATTACAGCAGACATAGAAATACCTTTAGGGAAGACGTAGGATATGGGTTGAGCTGAACATTGAGAGAAAGTACAGGCAACTTAGGCAGCAGAAGTAACAGCAAGGGAGGTGCGAAGGAACAGCAGTGAGCCATTCATCCACAGTGATTTCAAAGGAACCAGCAGGGGGTGCTCTGCGTCCCCAGAACCTCCAACATTTGTACAAGGAAGCTCTAAATTCTTTGGAAAAGATAGTTTTTCATTCACATTTATAGGAAAAGCCAAAATGCAAATGCCTCTTGAGAGGTAAAACAATGACTTAAATCCAACTACATTATAAATGACTATTACCAGACCTTTTTCTAAGAGCACCTGAAGGAAAGATGGGTGCTTCAGAAGACCATGGCAAGACACAGGATATAACAAAGATGGGAACTACAGACAGACAATCTAAGGTTGGATAAGTGAGAGGAGGGCAGGTTATTGACAGCATGCATAGCTGGTTGGAAGAGTTTAGAATTGGGCACTGCCTGGATCAGAGCAAGAACTAATAAATATTTGTATAATGAATAAATGAATAAATTAAAAATAAGTCTTGAACATGACAAAAGCCAAGTTTCAGCAAGAGGTATTTAATAGTAGTGCAGTGTGCAGGAAGAAATGGTTGGGGTGGAGAGAATGGGACAAGACTGGAAAAATAAAATCACTGTCTTAATCTCATATAACTGGATAGGACAAGAGTAGCAAGTTTTATTTTTAATTATTCAGATGGGAAAAATTCCTTCACTAAAACAAGCCAATAAAATGAGTCATAATGATAGTTCCTTTTAATTTTGAAGCATTATAATATCTGGAAAGGGATCACTTCCCCTTTAGACTAAAAGAAATATTTAGGAGAGAGGAAAGGGCTTGAAAGAAAGGAGGGGTGGGGGTAAGCTTACTGATGTTTCTTAACATGCCTCAGTGTATTCAAGGTAGAAGCTGAAAGACTTAAAAAATCCCAACTCTTTACCTATCAATAAAATCCCTCTTATTAAACCTGTTCATGAATGAATTTTAGTAACTTGTGAGCTATGGTATGGGCTGAAACTTCTAGGCAGCTAACCTAATTCATATATTCTGTCCTCTACTCAGGTAAGAGAAATAGCTTCTATATGTGAATACTTGAGTTTAAAGGCAATCAGCAGGAAACTGGCCCTTTGAAGCCATATCCTGCCTATTTACTGATCATTTCCATTTCAAAGTTGCATTAGAAAACATACTCTATACGCAATTGGACAGTAGCCATAGATTATAGGTTTCTTCTTTTTTTTTTTTTTTGTCTTTTTGTCTTTTTCCATGTCCGGCAACGGATCACAACCCTCAGTGTTGCCCCCGCACCGGACCGGGGACTGGCAACGGGATCGCAACCCTTGGCGTTGCCCCCGTGCCTCGCTCAGCCAGTGAGCGGGAACCGGTCTGTATGTGGGATCCGAACCCTCGGGCGGGAGCGCCGCCACGCTTCCCAAGCGGCGCACTATCCAGTGTGCCACCGGGCCGGCCCCTATAGGTTTCTTCTGAGAATGTAATTCATTAATCAATTTTCATGCCACCACTGTGAAATTTCTCTTGGCCAAGAAATGCCAAAGCTGATGCCAAGTGAATTACCTTTTCAGAGTAAGGGAACAAAATGATATTCCAACTCAGACACACCTAACAAACAATGAGATATAGAGTTGCTCTGGAAGTATCAAGTTTCAAGTTTTTAATGGGATTATGGAAACTTTATTAAACCCTCTTACGCATTTAAAAATCATCAATTTTTATTTTGGAGAAGCCCCAAATGATACTGTTTTAAAGACTGTTTCCAAGTCAGTTTAATCTTTCTAGGAAAACAGAATACAAATGTATCATTTTGGAAACTTCATTAAAAATTAATAAAACCCCAAAATGTCTGTTGGTATAAAATACTTAGAAACCTAAAACTCTCATTTACTGGTTAGAGGTAGTATGTACTAAAAAAGAAAAAACAAAACAACAAAACCTTGCTTTTCTGTTTAATTACATATCAGAGATAAATTATTCTACTTTTGACAGATAATTTTTAATAATAATCCAATAACTTTGGTATTAAAAGTATACAACTTCCATATGGACCCCCAGAAATAATTTGAGTTCCCACCCTTTTTGTTGCATGGGCTATGTTCTACCTTCAGAAAAAACTTTTGGGCTCTGGACCTCTGTCCCTAACAACAAATACTCTAGCAAAGGGGATTTTTCTACATATAAATCAATATTTACTGTGCTTAATTGTATTCCTGTTCTAGTCTAGAATACATACATTAGAACCAAGCTTCTGCTTTAGAGTAATGTGCAATCATTACAGGACTCTGTATGGCCTAAAGGGCCTCATGGACCTTTCTAAATGTAATTGCTGAATATCAGATATGAGAAATCTTTGGCCATATATTTAAACTAATGTGATTTGTGAGCCAAGTACCAAAACACTACTGTTTATTATTTATCTTGATGACTTAAGCTTTTTTTTTTTTGGTTGGCAGAGCCAGGGGAGGCTTTATTTTGGAAAAGACAATTGAATTGGTTCTTGGTTGGGGCATGAACAACAGGGGGTACCCCAGGCAGTAGGCTCCCCCCAAGGGTGGGCTGAGGGCTAGGGCTAGGGCTGAGCCTCTGGTGGGTCTCCTGTTCCCCACACTCCCCAGCACAGCTGATTCCCCCACAGGCTCTGGGGCAGCCACAGGAGGGGGGAGGTTGGGAGGGGCTGCAGTGATTGTTTACTTGGGCAGGACATTGGAGGACTCGGACACCACCTTCCATGGGTCTCGATCTTCACAACCACAGCCTTGGAGGAGCTGGTGCGGCTGAAGGGGCTGGAGCTCCTGCCAGAGCTCGGGCTTGTGAAGCACAGCCCATCTGAGTAGCCGCTAGCGGCCTTCAGATGGACACTCATGTTATTCATCCCAGACTCCAGCCGTCTCTCCTCGCCCTCCAGCAGGTGGCGATCTCAATGTCCAGGCCCAGCTCAATGTTCATGATCTAGTAATCATGCAGCTGCCATGCCATGTCCTGCTTGGCCTGCTGCAGGGCAGCCTCCAGGTCAGCCATCTTGGTATTGGCGTCCTTGAGGGTCAGCTCCCCACGATGCTCGGCATCAGCAATGGCAGCCTCCAGGGAAGCCTTCTGGCCTTTGAGGCCCTCAATCTCAGCCTGGAGCCAGCTGATGTTCTGGTTCACTTTGGTGATCTCCATCTTTGTGTGACTCAGTTCATCCCTGTGTTTCCTAGCCAGGTTCTGCAGCTCCTCATACTTGATCTGGTACATGCTCTCAGCCTTGGCCTGGCTGCGGCTGGCAATCTCTTTGTACTGAGCCTTGACCTCAGCAATGATGCTATCCATGTGCAGGGAGTGGCTATTGTCCATGGACAGGACCACAAACATGTCCGAGATCTGGGACTGCAGCTCACGCATCTCCTCTTCATACAGTTGCCTCAGAAAGTTGATCTCATCTGTCAGCCCTTCCAGACGAGACTCCAGCTCCACCTTGTTCATGTAAGCTTCATCCACATCGTTCTTGACGAGGACAAATTCATCTTCCATCTCTGTACACTTGTTGATCTCACCCTCGTACTTAATCTTGAAGTCCTTCACTAGTCCCTGCATGTTGTTAAGCTCCGCCTCCAGCCTCAGCTTCTCCTGACCCAGTAACTTCAGCTGCCGCCAAAGACTGTTGATATAGCTCTCCAAGATGTTGTCCATGTTGCTCCAAGCTGTCTTCTGCTGCTGCAGGAGGCTTCACTTGGTCTCCAGCATCTTGTTCTGCTGCTCCAGGAACTGCACCTCATCGATGGAGGCAATCTTGTTGAGGGTCTTGATCTACTCCTTCTCCTGGTATGCATGGCATGGAGGGTGGGGCCCACTTCAAGATTAAGGGGGTTCAGCAGGCTCTGGTTCACCAAGATGGCTGTGATGCCCCCCATACCACTGGCCCCAGTGTAGGCCCCACCCAGGCTCAGGCCACCCCAGAAGCTGCTGCTGCTGCCCACACTGGAGAAACTCGAGGAGCTGGTGCAGGCACTGGGCAATGCCCCCCATACCACTGGCCCCAGTGTAGGCCCCACCCAGGCTCAGGCCACCCCAGAAGCTGTTGCTGCTGCCCACACTGGAGAAACTCGAGGAGCTGGTGCAGGCACTGGGCAAACTCACTCGTGTAGAAGTGGTTGCTGAAGGCCTGGGGGCCAGAGGTGGACACCTTGTAAGATTTCTGGGTCACCCTGATGGACATGGTGGAGGCTGGAGTGGAGGAAGCAGGCTGAATTAGGTAGAGATTCGAGAAGGAGCAGAAAAGCTGCTCTAGGTGGGACCACTTTTTAAACTTTTAAAAAAGACACTATATTGATTTCCTTAGTGGCAAAAAATAATAAGATTTTAGAGCTGGAAAGTACCTTAAAGTCCCTAGATGAATATATATCAGTTCACAATATTGTTACAAAA